AAAAAAGCTCATGTAAATGTTTGGGATCCAGAATGTTATGAAATGTTATGACATTTCTATGCGTTTTGCTTGTTAGTTTGTTTTAGCAAATTTAGGGATATTGCATTAAAAATCAGTATGGAAATTGTAAACAAGATTTACAAAATATATATTTTTTTGATCATTAAATGGAAACAATAAACTCTTATATATATTTCTATTATTTACGATAAAAATATAAATGACTATTTAATTTATAAATATAATTACTAACATAAACAGCGTATGGAAATTGTAAACCTATAAAAATGGTAAAAACGAAACTTCATAAAATGTGATGATAATTAAATTGAATCACATTAAAATAGAAAGAACTAACTACATTTAAAATGGAAAATGTATAGAAATAAAATTTGTAGTATATAAAAATATTTAATATATAACTTGCATGTATTTCTATTACATAAAATAAAAATGACAATTTGTTCATTTATAAATATAATTACTAACAGAGTATAAAACTATGCAAAAATATGCATATAACATGGTTATAATTAAATGGAAACTTTAAATGGAAAAATATATATATACTTATATACATATCTTACATATATTTCTATCATACAAAATTAAAATAAATAATTTATTCATTTATAAATTTAACAAAAATAAATGCAGTATGGAAACTAAAAAAAATAAACATGTTTATTTATATGATTATATGCATATAAAACGCCCATAAAAACCAGAGAATCCTTTTACAAAATAAAACATTGTCCTTCTTTAAAATGCCTTCAACAGTGCACATTTCATGAAGATGCATTAGGATATGCCTGCCCACTAGATGAATACACTTACATAACCACATTCAGCCTGAGAAGGTTCTGCGACACGAATTACCGGCGTACGGTGGTGGCACCACAGGTGCCTCGAGCCAAAGCGAACAATAGCGTGGAAGCAAACAGCATTAGCAATGTGAGCAGAATTAACGATGTAGGTGACCCACATGGAGGGAGGAAAGCGCCTTCGCTAGAAGTGATAGGAGCACTTGTGCTAAGTGCAGATATGGTGGAAAGCTATATTTACTGACAGGAAGTGAAGACCATTTGTCCTGTAGCTATGTTATTAGCCGCTCCTCGTTATAAAATGCTCGGCCGCTCCATTTAGAGCATTTGTCAGAGCACTTCACTCCAGTTCTACTGCAGTTTAAACAAGGAAACACACCCCGGACACTCAAGCTAATATGAAAAGCTTTGATAAACACTGAAGTGTGTTTCTGCTCTCTGCCATGTGCCGCCCACTCGTTCTGCATTGTCCTCGCCAGCTGTGGCCGACTGCAAAAAGACAAGTGTTGTGTATTCTGTCAGTCGAGGGATAACTCATCCAATCAAATCCTCTGACAGCTTGTCTTTCTCAGGATCTCTGCACTGATTTCCTGCATGCCTACGATTGAAGAAATTGGGGTGGCCAGACATCCATCACAGACCAGGACATCTGGGATATCTGACTCTGTTAGAAGTGTATGAAACAGGAATGGGCTGCGTGACCACATAATCTATATGTAATTTTAGATTATGGTCATGGTCTATTATCCCAATATTTTGCTGTAAAGTAACAACTTTGGATAATACAGTGAATCAAACACACCACAAATGAAATCTATTTGATCTTATTTGATTTTTTTCTATTTTTAAATGAATAGCAATGGTTGCAATTGGAAAGATAAGATTTATAATGAGAGATAAGTATGGCATTAGCACAAACCCTACTGTATGATATTTGATACGTACATTTCTAAGACCTCGAAATTATCAGCATGATCAAAATTTGCTGTAAAACCTGTTGTGCAAAAAATGTTTCTCATAATTTGATTATACCTTCAGGTCATGGTACATGTGTGGATTTGCTGTAAAATATTTTCTGTTTTTTATAAAGTACATGTATAGTAATATGTCAAGATGAACATTTACTGGACTTAAACTTAAGTTACTTAAGTTTAGAAAATCCTGTTCAAATGTATCCAATATAACAAATAAGTCTTTTGAGGGACATTTATTTCTTCATCTCTTAATCATTATTGTATTGTATTGCAATGCATTATATGAAACTACAGAGTTTTGATCATAAAACTACGTTTACATTTTACCTTACTTATATTAATGAGAAATATAGTGACATCTGATATTTATAAGCATTTTATGTCAGTAATCTGATATATTAATATAAACATCTCATTGACGTACAGTACAATGTATCAATTTCATTTTACTTTTTGATAGAAATATCAAAAACTGCAACAAATTGTATATTTTACTTACTTTGGGCCCTTTTTTCCCTCATTTATCATTCTATATGAAACATAACCCTGACATACCAAATATGATATTTGATACATTAAATATTAGATTTTTTTTAAAGATTGTCTAAAGATTCAATAAACTGTTCCATTTCAAAAAATTAGATTTTTCTGACTATTATTTCATGTCAGGCTTAATGTTCTGTAAATAACATTATAAAACAGACAGCTCAAACTCAATTCTTACTGTATGAGCTATGTTTGAAGCCACTAGAAAACTGCCAAAATACACACAACCATGATGCATATCTATTGAATATATGACACACATATATTAATGTGGCAGCTGCAAACCACTAAACTCCACGTCTTGACTTACAGCATCTACCGTGATGCATTATAGAAAAATCTTTACTCATTGACCGCGAAAATGGTATATACAGTCAAATCACTCAAAACTAGTGTTTATCTAACTACATAAACATCTGCCTTGAAATGTACTTGTTTATGATTAAAACCTCACGTGCACTGCCAAAATCTGTGTTTGATTATGAAGAAACAAACATGAATGCATACCCATATATCAATATTTTAGATTATATGAATATATGAATCTGCTTTACAGGTAATAATGTTGTAAATATTGTTCAGTTACTTGCACAGACTGATTGTTTAGCTTCATAAGACCTCAAGATATCTTCAGGAGCCACAGCTAGGGCTGTGCAATTAATCAAAATACAGTTTCGATTTCGGCTTCCAACGAATATGAATACTTTTAATAATCGAGATCAAACGATTATTGTGCCCTATTCTTCCCCTTTCCAGCGGTGCGGTTTCTCTCCTCCATAAAAGCCCAAACTTAATGTGCAAATCAGTAAAATCATGTTTATTGATTGTTTAAATCATGATTTATTAACGTTTATTAGATTTGTGTGCATTTTAACAAGCGCGAAAAAAAGAACTTGGGCTGTTCTGTGTATGCGCTCCGACTCGGGGCAGAACACGGACATGTAAAGTAAACTTTTAACTTAAACTGCCTGCCTAAATGGTCAAATACATGCAAAAATGTGTCAATGCGGTGCTTGGGGATTATTCATATAAACAATCGTCAGTTATGGCTTAAGTGAACGTAAACAGTTGAGAATGAAAATACGTGTGCAACAGTATATTGGATCCGTGCAGCTCTTAAAGAGACAGAGGGTAATATTCCTTATGCCATATCAAACCACAAAAGACAGAAAATCACACACTGCTCTTGACTGAAGGATTTTTGTAACTTTAAAGGTCCCTTGGCATGAAAATTTCACTTTATGAGGTTTTTTAACATTAATATGAGTTCCCCTAGCCTGCCTATGGTCCCCCAGTGGCTAGAAATGGCGATAGGTGTAAACCGAGCCCTGGGTATCCTGCTTCGCCTTTGAGAAAATGAAAGCTCAGATGGCCCAATCTGGAATCTTCCCTTTATGTCGTCATACGGGGAAAGGTTACCTCCCCTTTCTCTGCTTTGCCCGCCCAGAGAATTTGCCCCGCCCATGAGAAAATGAGCTACTACCGTGCGAGGCGAGCGCAATATTTTTTTCCCTCGAGAGACAGCATGGCTTGCAAACGAGCGAAGCATGGCAGTTGCCCCGCCTCTCTCCTCCTCATTAGCATTTAAAGCTACAGACACAGAAATGGCACATCCTAAGGAAAGCTCATTGTGGGACTGGCTCGTAGTGGCTGAAATTCTGCACCACGGCTGAATTTCGGGAAAGAGACTTCAGATACAGTACTAGGGACTACTTAGGCCTATATAAATGCATCCAAAAAGCAGCATGTCATGGGACCTTTAATAAGAAACAAAGCAAGTTTAATTCTTACAGTGAAGACTATGCTGTTTTATTTTACATTTGATTATTCAATTTCTGGTGTATGCTGTTAGCTGAATACTTTAGACTTGCATAAAAAAAGCACTGTTTGTTTCATTTGTATCTTTTTTTCTACCTTTGCTTTTTTGTTTTTATTGTATTACTGACAGTTTAATTATTTTCAATCATTTTTGAGGACTTTTCACTAATATAAAATTGTGTTCATATGACCCACTAATAATCATGTTAAATAATCGTGATTACAATATTGACCAAAAATAATCATGATTATGATTTTTGCCATAATCGAGCAGCCCTAGTCACAACTATTAATTTTGTCCAGCCTGTATATACTTTTTTATATGCTCTTAAGTGACAATAGCCGCTGATTTGCATTTTATGAATCACCAAGGACCACGGTTTCAGCTAAACTGTTATACTGAAGAAGAAGAAATCCACTTACATCTTAGATGGCCTGAGGGTGAGTAAATTAACAGCAAATTTTCATTTTTGGGTGAACTATCTCTTTAATTCTTTCTCTTTATTTGATATTTCTGAGACCAAGGTAGCTGAAATACGTCAAATTACAAAAAAAAAATGTACAACGGCATAAATAACAACAAAGCAAGCAGCATTTAAGCAGTCAAAGAATCGAGCAGAAAATGGCTTCTGCAACAAAATAATCCCACCAAACTGTTTATTCATTATCATATCTCGGAGAGCCGAGTGCACAGGTGACAGAGAGCCGCTGCTGGGTTTGAGGATTCAGATACAGTGCTTGCGAGTCAATAAGACATGCAGTGGAGAGATCTGACCTGCTTGGCTGAAGAAAGCCTCGGGAGTTCATGCGGAAATGTGTTTGTTTGTGTGCCACTGACCTCTTTAGGTTGAGAAGAGCCCAAGGGATGCCAGTCGGGGTCTTAAAAGCCGGCAACAGCTTCTCTCCTAGTTCAACAGCTTTTCTCCTGAACACCTGAAGTAAAAGAAAGACAGACAGACACAAAGAGGTTAGTCTAACCTCATCCGTACACAGCAGTGGCAGAGCCGTGTAACCTCTGGCTGCCTCTGCCTTCCCATAAACTCACCATATTTATTTTATCCGTCATATTTGCATGATACACGGAGTCGACTGATAGAAAGAGAGGCATTGATATTCTGCTGAGGGCAGGATCCAGGAGACGGCTGATAACAGCAGATAAGACGAGGGCACGCGGCCCACTGTAAACCTGCTGCCTGCCTGTCATCTTCTGTCTGCTACCTGGCCCTTCATTCCACTCCTCTGACATTTCAAACCATCAGGGAGCCGCTACGAATCCCTCAACCAGCAAATATGCTGCATATCTGCTGGCTGCTGAGATGATATCGCACTGAGCCAAAGCGGACTAAACTGGCTTTAGCTCTTTTATCCAGAAACAGAATTTTTGTTTAAGTGATACGTAAAGGGGCCATGTTCAACACTTGTGTTCAATTCTTGAAATAAAAATAAATACATTGTTATCACTACCACTCAAAAGTTTGGGGGCAGTAAGATTGTTTATTAAAGAAGTTAATACTTTTAATCAGCATGGATGCATTAAACTGATCAAAAGTAACAAGACATGCATAATGTTACAAAAAATTCTGTTTCATATACATGCTGCTTTTTTGAACCGTCTATTCATCAAATAATTGTCAAAATAAAAATTCACAAACATATTCAGCACATATACATATATATATACATATATATATATACATACATACATACATTATTTTTAATTACTTACCGACCCAAAATTTGGATGGTAATGTTAATATTTAAATCATAGACTGTAAAAAAAGATGGACGACGCGTCTCCTATTCCTTCCACTATAGAAAAGTGAAGCCAAAGCATCTCACTATAGCCGCTGCCATCTTGAGTAAATTACGTAATTTGGAGCCAGAATCTGTGCAGTAGAGATTCGTTTGGAGCCAGAGTCTGCACAGTAGAGATTCGGTTGGAGCCAGAGTCTGTGCAGTAGAGATTCGTTTGGAGCCAGAGTCTGCACAGTAGAGATTCGGTTGGAGCCAGAGTCTGTGCAGTAGAGATTCGTTTGGAGCCAGAGTCTGCACAGTAGAGATTCGGTTGGAGCCAGAGTCTGTGCAGTAGTGTCGTGAGGTGGAGCCACAGTATCAAACTCCCGCAGACCCAATCAACCATAACGACACGCCCCGTTTTTACAGCATCAAATTACTAGCTGAAATCAAACTTATCACAAAAAAACAAACAATTGAACATATATCATTGTGATAACAACTACCTTAAATGGCCAAAACCATCTTTCGGAAAATTGTATTGGAAGTGTAATTTATTTTTTATTTTGACTCAAGTCCCATTCGTTTACATGGAGAGGGCGGGGTTTATGACCTGTACTGCAGCCAGCCACTAGGGGGCGATCAACGAGCCCGCAGCTTCACTTTCCAGGATGTGTGAGGCACACCCGATTTAAATATAATGTATTTAAATAAGAAAATAATTACATAATATATAATCAAAATGAAATAATATTGAAATAAAATGCTTCAATGAAAATAATTTTTCAGATTTTAACTGGCTATGGTGACATTTTTGGCCTGCCACAATTAACACAACTAGCTATACCAACATATTTCTGTCTAAAAAAATATACAAGTTCAGTATAAAAAAGTCTTAATGATTTGTCCAAGAGTCACAAATAATTCACATTACAATAAAACCTTTGATAAAATGTTAACAAAATAGAAAACATTTAAATTACCACAAATCTCTCATATTAAACCAAAATTTGTCATCAAAACACAAGTTTTTTTTTTGTTTTGTTTTTTTACATAAACATAAGATACACTCACAACACAGCACTAATTAAGCATATCAAGATCCACTTGTAATGTTGGCCCAGGATTCCTGCCTCAAAAATGAGTTCTGCATCCTTTTCGACTATTCCTGACAGGCAGTTTATGTGACTACACCTTTAAGTCTTTAATTTTTAAATGGACAGCTTTCTACGTTATGTCCCAATTAAACAAATACTGAAGATATACAATATTTGTTGTGCAGGGTTTAGCTCTTCTTCATCTTTGAAGGGTTACTTTGGCGAAGGAGGTGAGCAGATCTGTCTCAGAGGGCCAGATTTACTCATCCCTCTTGTAATTCATCCTGTGAGTCAGAAAGCCCACAAAGCAAAGGTCCCCTGAGCATGGCCAGATCGCTGCGTGACAGGCAGAAATCAAACTGCAATGCAATGACTTGTCAAAATTTACCAAAGCTGCTGGTGTGCAGCAGTAAAACAACAATCATACAACTGGGATTAAATCATGGGAGATCAGAGGCATGATGCATCCAACGAAGAGTCAGTATCATCTAAACACACTACTGATCATAATTCCCGCTGTACGGCTCTAAACGAGGACGTGCTTCATTCTGTATGCATATCAAGGATGAGGTCAACACATCGAAACGCGCATCGCTCCATAGAGTTTTCCCCAGCGCCTCGACGGCCTAGATGACGTCTGTGCGCTTGCCCTTGCTCTTCAAACACAAGGTGAGCTGTTATCTCGTCTATGTGAATTCACTTAACAGGTTGTCTGGTTGGATGCCGCCAGCATTTGCCACATTCAGTGCTGCATGTAGGCAGGTTTAAAAGAACATTTGAGCCTGTGGACAGTCATTCCAGAATATGACGCCATCAGCATGAGCACAATCGGAGATTATGGGAGAGCCGATCACTCAAAGCGTGCCATCACTTTGATCAATGCCTGTAATAAAACCCCTGCGCCTCGGAGTAAACAAAACGAAACAGAGCAGCCCTGCTAGACATTTTCAAATAAAGTCATGACAATGTTCAATATATCAAAAACAGTCAGCCTTTAATATGAATGAGAACTGATGACCACAGCATGCTGCAGATGTTTATGTGGTTGACTTTAATTTTTCAGTGGAGTAGAGAGTTTGTACTGTCTGATTAGGTTAATTTGACAAATGCCAAATTTAAGCATTACATTAAGATTGTGCTTGCCCATGCAAAACTCAATACCGCGATGCTTTAGCAAAAACTAATAATTATTCATTTAAAAAACACATTTATAGCATTATACCTTTGTGCTGTTATTTATTATCATACTTTACATCTAATAATAAATAAATTAAATAAAAAATTTTTTTCAATAAATAAAATAAATATTAATGATAATAGTAATAATAGCAGCTTTGGCTTAGCTTTTCACATGCATTTGACAATAATAATAATAATAATAATAATGACAGCAATGTATATTTTTAACAAATTACAAAATTAAGCATAATTAATTTACGCTCGCCCACGTAAAACTCTTTATAATGACTATTTAGCAATAACAGTATTATTTATATTTTGTGCTAATACTTATTATCATATTTAATAATATATATTTATTCTGTTTAACGTTTATTTAGTAAATTAATAATAATCATCATCATCAATAAATTATTAAATGTTAATAACTGTTATTAATAATGCTACTAATGCGAATACATTATTATTATTATTATTAATGTAAATGATGTTGATGTAAAAATAGTATTATTATATAGTATTAGTATTAGTAGCAGTAATAATAATAATAATACTATTTTTATTAAGTGTGAAAAGTAACGATGGAGAGAAGTAAAAGGTCAAGCAGACTATAAAACTTATTTTATTTTATATAATAATATATTTATTCTGTTTAACGTTTATTTAGTAAATTAATAATAATCATCATCATCAATAAATTATTAAATGTTAATAACTGTTATTAATAATGCTACTAATGCGAATACATTATTATTATTATTATTATTAATGTAAATGATGTTGATGTAAAAATAGTATTATTATATAGTATTAGTATTAGTAGCAGTAATAATAATAATAATACTATTTTTATTAAGTGTGAAAAGTAACGATGGAGAGAAGTAAAAGGTCAAGCAGACTATAAAACTTATTTTATTTTATATAATAATAATAATAATATTTTTTTATTAAGTGTGAAAAATAACACTGGAGAGAGAAGTAAAAGAAGGTCAAGCAGACTCTATAACTTGAAGGTTGCTCAAAAATGTCCTGTCCTGTGCCACTTCAAGGTGTAAGTGCAAGTGTGTATGAGCGTGTGCAAGACAAAAAGCGACTGCTGGTCGAGTGCTAGACGTCCACTAAATGAGATAAATTGCCTTGTCAGTGGATGGTGACTTGAGAACCTCATGAGCTTTTACCTAGATTACTGTTAGGACTACAGGGAATGGAGCACACAGCTGCAGAGAGCCACCTGACCCTTTCAAAGCCCTCCAAAACCTGCTTCGCTCACCCAGAGATCAGTAAGATCCAGTATGGAGACAAGCGGACAGAAAGGTTCAAGCAAAAGCTATGAAAGCAAAGCCCTAAAGCTCGAGACAGCTTTGACAAAGGTTGACATTTACTCCACCGTGAGGACCAAAGCTCATGCAGAGGGAGCACAGAAAGTGTAGTATGGAGACATGAAAATATGGCTAAACTATCAGCAAAGGTGCTGCATGCAAATTAGACTTAATTTCAACTTCAAATCTGGTCACACAAATTAAGGTTTGTTGAAGAATGCAAATTAGTTCGGTATCGGTTCAGTAATAGACCATAACCGATTATAATGTAATGATGCTTTTCTAACGTCATTTGTCACATACATGCTTTGTCGCGGTAGCATACATTAGGCACATTCGACTTGAAGCATGATCAGTGTATGACATCAAGTACCGCGAGAGCGATAAGAGAGCAGATGGATACATATACTTTTGAATCACTCTCGCGGTTGATGTCATACACTGATCATTCTGCACAGCACCGCTTCAAGTCGAACGCACCTAATGGCGGAGGGAGGTGAGACACGAGTGTGAGTAATTAAAAATGCTCCAACTACTTTAAAAGCTGACATCTGGGCACATTTCGGGCTTTTATGAACAACCTGGTAAGCACGAAATGGAGAAG